TTAATGGTTCACAGCATCGTGTTTATCAAATAAAAAGCAAGAAGCGTACATGTTCCCTGTTCATGTTTATTTGTCAAGCGTTACTACACTGCAAAAAAATGCTTTTCTTACTTAGATTTTTTGTCTTGTTTTCAGCCAAAATATCAAAAAATTATTAAATCAAGAAGGATTTTCTAGGCAAGTAAAAATGTTTAAAAAATTCAAAAATTAAAGTACACCTACAGGATGAACTGTTGCATTATTATAACTAATTTAAAATCATAAGCAATACCATACAAGTATAGTTAAGTCGTCATCTTTTTTTTTTCTTCTCCAGTTGATGAAACGTCAATCTTCAACTTGAAGAGTATATGAAAAAGCTTAAACTCTCAAACTCTATATTGTAACAATTCCCTCACTGAATTGTCATCAAATTCCCTTTTTGTGGAACGTGTTTGGGAAGTGTAGCGTCAAGAAGTCCGATTCACTTCGAGCGAATCGATTCATTCGAACAGTTCGCTTCAGTTCAAATGAAATAGTTATTAAATACTGCTGTTTATCAGTATGTTCTTGTTTAAAGTACACATATTGTATGAAATAATGCTGGTTTTATGATCCCACCTCATTTTGCGATTCGGTTTAACCAAAACATAAAAAGAACCGAGTCAAAAGAATGAATCATTTCGCGAATCGAACATGTAGCATGTGAATTATGAGTCAGTGCACGTGGTTTGTGGTGGGAAACACACTCTGGTCTTCTGTCCATCACTCATTCACGACCAGAACACCACAGGATCCCCACTGTATCCAGCTGTTCATCAGAAATCACGTAAGTCAGCAATTACACCTAACGTTATAGAAACAACGAATGCATGGTCAAACAACTAACTAGTTGCATGAAAGACTTATTGGAAGCGGACTCCAGTGGCAACCTGTGAAGCTGTAATGCCCAAGAAGGTTAAGGCAGTGCTGGAAAATAATGGTGGCCACACAAAATATTGACACTTTGGGCCCAATTTGGACATTTTCACTTAGGGGTGTACTCACTTTTGTGGCCAGCGGTTTAGACATTAATGGCTGTGTGTTGAATTATTTTGAGGGGACAGCAAATTTACACTGTTATACAAGCTGTACACTCACTACTGTACATTGTAGCAAAGTGTCATTTCTTCAGTGTTGTCACATGAAAAGATATAATAAAATATTTACAAAAATGTGAGGGGTGTACTCACTTCTGTGAGATACTGTGTGTGTATATATATATAAATAATATATAATTACTATAAAAGATATTAAAAAACATTTAAAAAATCATTGTCATAATTTTATCGCCTTTGTTGTTATACCCCTCCCTGTATGACTGACTGACTGATTTCTGTGTAACACATGCAGATATTTTGAAGACTTTCCATGTAATTTCAGTAAACAAGCACCATAAAAATATCAAAACCGTACACAGATCTCATGCACTGTATTTCAGACGTCTTCAGAAGTCATTCAGTCGCTGTGTGTAAGAATCAGGTTCCTGTGTTTGAGTGATTGACGTGTGAATTTGATCTTGAAAAGAACACGAGAACTGGAAGAGAAATGAGCGTGATGTTCTGATTGTTGTTATCATCAGTCAGTCATCTCTGTGTTGTCTCAGGGGTGTTATACACGCAGGGCTGATGTTGACTACAGAGGGAGCGAAGGTCCTGGAGTTTAGCTGCTGCTTCGGTGACCCCGAGTGTCAGGTGAGAGCAGTTCTGTGGAAATCATCCGTTTGATCCGATAATGCCCGTTTCTGGCATGTTGATCAGAAAATAATAACACAGCTGCTGATTTAATGACATGCTGTTCAAGAAAACAACTCTATTAAAGGGGTTCAGTCAGAGAGTCCTCATTTACTTATTTATTTTTATAATAATATTTTGAAATTATTGACTTTATTTTTGTTCAAACACCAAGGCAAAAAATTTAATAAAATAATTTTTAATAAATAATTCTATAACGTAACTTTGTCATGTATATACACTGCCGTTCAAAAGTTTGTGAACAGGAAGATTTTTAATGTTTTTAAAGAAGTCTCTTCTGCTCACCAAGGCTGCATTAAATTAATCAAAAATACAGAAAGAAAAAAAAACAGTAAAATTGTGAAATATTATTCCAATTTTAAATATTTTTGGAACCTGTGATAGGATTCTTTGATGAACACAAAAAGTTAAAAAGAGCAGCATTTATTCAAAATAGAAATATATCCTAACAATAGAAGTCTTTTCTATCATTTTTATCAATTTAACACATCCTTGCCGAATAAAAGTATTAATTTCTTTCAGGAAAAAAAATATATATATATGTGTGTGTGCATGTTAAAAATAATAAATATGAAAAATTACAAAAATTATTATAATTATTCTTTTCAAAAATATATATTTATATATTTAAAATATACATTCCAAATGTTCTGAAGTCTTTTCAGTTTTTGTGAGGAACAGACTGGAAATCCTGAGACGCTGAAATCAGATCAGATGGAGTAACTCAAATCAGCTGCTTCGTTGTAATGAACTGATTCAAAAGCAGCACTGATTCACTGATTCAGTTGTGGGTTTGACTCAGTGATCCGGATCAGTTCTCAGGTGCTGATGCTGTTGCTGGAGTCTGATCTGTACGAGGATATCCGGACTCATATAAGAAAGGTCTGGTTAATAATAATACAAATATATCTACATAAAATATAAATATATCAGTTTCAAGTCTTGAATATAATAAATGGTATAACAAAGTCTTAATTATCATTTCTTTGAATGAGCAGCTCGAAATAAAGCATTGCCATTTAAAAATCCAGCGTAATGTAATATAAATATATATAAACGATTAATCGCATCCAAAATAAAAGTTTTTGTTTCACCCTCAGATTCCAGATTTTCAAATATTGTCCGATCCTAACAAACCATACATCAATGGAAAGCTTATTTATTCTGCGTTCAGTTGCTCCTTATAACTGGTTTTGTGGTCCAGGGTCACATATTAGATCACTTAACATTAATTGTATTTATGGTTTTGTTTGTGATTAATGATCGTAAGCCAGGAGTGAAATATGATGGTGAATTTGGCAGGAGGAGGTGGACGCAGGAGCGATCGTCGTTCAGGAGGCGGTTCCCATCCTGATGACTGACACAGAGGACAGCCAATCAGAGTGCATCCGGGAGGCGGAGCATCGCGCTTTCCCAGCAGCCCTAGAGCTAGTGTCCAGCGGCGCAGTGAAGCTGCGAGACGACGGGAGGATCGTGTGCAGCCAGAGCGCTCAGGGATAAACACACACATATATATCACACTAGTGTACTTCAGTTCAGCTCCAGCTCCTGAGCCACATTAATCAGATTCTCTGTTGAGGAGTTATTCGAGATGTACATGATGAGCTTTATTCTCTGCATGTAACAGAACTAGATCAGTATTTGCTCTGCATTAAACTTGCACTGCTCTCAGACAACCCTGATCTTTTTTTTATCATTACATTGTTCATCGTTTATGAATATTAGGTCTATAGAGGTTTTATTAAACATGGTATCATGCAGTACACAAGCCCCTGAGATCGTTTATCAAGCAGAAACCTGAATACAAAGTGCATTACAGAAATATAATGCCCCTTGAGATGCGACTAAACACAAAAACTAAATATTACAACGTAAACCAATATAAATGGTTTTGATTTGCAAAGATTGTATATCATCTTATCAATACATAATCATTCAAATATTTAATCACTCGCTGCTTTGTTCCAGAAATCCTGTTTATTTTCTTTAAATACAGACCTGCTGTTGAGGTTATTAATTTGCATATACTTCTGTTCAGACGTCAGCATTTATTTACAACAGTTTGAAAGCGTCACTGTATCATCCCCTTATTAATAATCTAATGCAAATATTATTATTCACATCTCTCAATATACCGACTTTCAATGTAAGGCTTAAAAAAGATTCATTCATTCAAGTTTTGAAGAAAGTTCAGTTCAAAGTTTTTGGAATATTATATATATATATATACAGTATATTATTGCATTGAGTGAATCAAAAATACAGCAAACTGTATTTCACAAAATTTCAATTTTTACTGTATTTTTGATCAAATGAATGCAGCCTTGGTGAGAAGAACAGACTTAACTCAAAAACGCTAAAATATCTTTTTAAAATCTAAAAATTGTATATAAAAAAAAATACAAAATTGAAATAAAAACTATATAGACATTTAAAACACCAACAAAAACACACATTTAACTTCATTTTTGGAATAATTTTTTTTTTATTTCCATCTTCCAGTCATATTAAAGTATGATGGGAACAACATGAATAACTGGTGTTACTTTTTTCCCTTTTTGTATTATTTTTTTAGTTATTTTAGTTCATGCTGACACTTTAAAACCAACAAAAACACTACTAAAACGTGAAGTACAAATCTAAATAAAATAACAATCTCTTTTTTTCATTTTATAAGAAAAAAAATATATATATATATTTCCATCTTTATTATGACTGGATAAAACATACAATTATTCTAAAGTTTTTTTTTTTTAAAGCTCCCTTTATTTTCTTTTTTCTTTTAGTTATTTTAGTTTATGTTGACTCTTCTCTCAGTTTGTGTAAAATCGACCTTTTATGAAAAACATGACTAAAAGCAACCAAGACTAAAAGTCAAGTCCTTAGCCATCTTCAAGAATCGGCTAAAAACACATCTCTTCCATCTTTATTTGACCCCCTAACTCTAGCACTCTCTATTCTAATTCTATTCTTTATAATAATAAAAAAAGCGTGCCCCTTTTAGACTTGCACTCTATTTATTTACTAACTGCGTGTTTTCTTTAAACTTTAAAACACCAACAAAAACACTACTAAAACGTGAAGTAAATCAAAATATTAAAAGTATCTTTTTTTCATGTTATAAGAAAAAGATTATATATATATATTTCCATCTTTACTGGATAAAATATGCAATTATTCTAGTTTTTTTTCCCTTTTTGTTATTTTAGTTTATGTTGACTTCTCTCAGTTTGTATAAAATTGACATTTTATGAAAAAATCATGTTTAATATAGTGACTGACGACAGTGGCATGCGCTCTGGATCTCAGTGCGGGTCAGTAAGAGCGTTTAGCCCTCGCTAGTGAACACGTGCTGCTCACTAACTAGCTTCTAGTGACCCAGTTGTTGAGCTCCAGCAGACTTCAGCTGGGTTTGTGTAACAACTGTCAGGATTTAGTGAAGCGCAGTATAGAGAGTCTCTCGTGTCCAGCCTGACGAGTCAAACACAGCTCTCCGTTCAGTCCTGATTTACTCAACACATCCACGATCTCTTCTAGACAACACAAACACCAGTCCAGATCAAAACCTGCGCAGATACCGATGCATAAAATGTGACCCTGGACCACAAAACCAGTCATAAGGGCCTTTTTTTGAAAATCGTTGTATAAATGATCTTTCCATTGATGTATGGTTTGTTAGGATAGGACAATATTTAAAAATCTGGAATCTTGAGGGTGCAAAAAAATCTAAATATTGAGAAATTACAAAATATCTTCATGGAACATGATCTTTACTTAATATCCTAATGATTTTTGGCATAAAAGAAAAATCTATAATTTTGACCCATACTATTGCTACAAATATACCCCAGCGACTTAACATTGCTTTTGTGCTGCAGGGTCACATATATAAAAAAAGATTAAACTTATTTCAGCTAGTTGCCAAAGCAAGTAGTTTAACCTGAAGTACTAAAATAACTAAATCTAATAAATAAAAATGACCAAAACGCACAATAAAATGACTAAAAGTGAAACACACCTGGGTCGTTCTCTGACACGGTCACCAGGTAAAACAGGCCGTGATCTGACAGCAGCTGAGGAATCACGGGAAAGACTCGATCCATCACCTCTCGACCGCGGATCCCGCCGGCCCATGAGGCCTCGATCCCGCGACTGCCCACCTGAGCTCAAAACACACTCGAGTCGCGATGCTGTTAAACACTGCAGCTTCACACGCGCTTACATGAGCATCTAGCAGCTCTTAACTAGCCTCTCGTGGAGAACTCAAGAAGAATCGCACTTAAAGTACAGGGCTTTTTAACACAAATGACCAGCGTTAATGAAAACTAAAACTATTCAAACTTGTTTTTGTTAATTGAAGTAAAGCTGTAATAGAACAAAACATAAATATTAGACAAAAATCTATTAAAACTTGTTCTCCTTAACCGAAATAAAGAAATAAAAATTATAAATATTATACATTTAAAAAAAAATTATTGAAAACAGATATTTTAAATTGTAATGTTTCACAATATTTCTGTTTTTACAGAATTTTTTTTTCTCAAATAAATGCAGCCTTGGTGAGCAGAAGATTTATTTTTGACCAGTATATATATATTATAAAATGTCTATATATATATATATATATGTATGTATATACGGAAGAGGATTAGGGCCAAGCAATAATAAAAAAATAAAACCATCTCGATATTAAAGTCATTATAATGCAAGATTAAACTCGTTAAATTTCGAGAAAAAAAGTCTAAATAAAATGTTGAGAATAAACTC